AGCTCTCATGCTCCAAGGTGACGGGCTCGGTCCGCTTCCTCATCCCGCGGCCCTGTCGGCCCGCAGTCCTCGGCGCCCTGGCTTCGGCCGCCCGCCCTCCCGCCTGCACAGCCCTGGCCGCAGTAGCCGCCGCTCACAGCCGTCTGCGCCGGGAGCCGGGAGCCCACTGCCGGTCACATCCCAGCCCCAGGCCGCGGCGTCCACTATGGACCAGCGCCGGAGGCCGGCCGGCCACCGCGGCCAATCAGCGCAAGACCCCAGACAGCTCCGCCCCCCCAAGTCACGCCCCTATCACCTCCTCTCCGAGTCCGCGGGCAGCACGCCCAGCATCCCCAGCGCCAACAACAGCCATCTTGGAGAAGGGCAGAAGAAGCTCAAGCTGCAGATCATTGTTATGGCAGGGCTGATCTGAAGTGTCTCACCGCATTTACGTTGTGGATTAGGATCAATTTGGGTTCTCAGGCTGAGTTGCTCAGGTGTCATCTGCAGACCAACTCAGGCATGCCCCGTCTCAGTGGTCCAATGGTGAGGACGCAGGGAGTGCGACAGCCAGAAGAGGGTCCTTAAAGCGCTAGCTTCACTTGCAGGGCCAAATAGGCGCCTTCCAGTCTCTCTGGAGCCTTTGGCTCCCCTAGTACGCGAAAACCCCCAGATACTCTAAAGGTTTATTATAATCAACAAAAAGCTTTAACTTAAAAGAGAAGGGAAAAAAGCATGCTCTCCTGTAGCTATTGTATCATTTAAAGCAAGTTTATATTCACTTTTCGTTCTTTGGCTGAATGTAAGAAAATGAACTGCCTATGAACTGCTTTGAAATCTTATTAAAAATTGCAACTTCACAAAAATGATTAGAAATGGTGGAGGCCAGGAAGTCCGTTTCAAAGATGGATTTGTACTAGTAACACCCAAAATGAATAATTCAATCCACCCGGGGAAAAAAACGGAAAGGGCATTTTCATGAATGTAGCTTTTTATAGTTTTTGCTTTGTTTGGTATGGTGGCATTAATTTCACGAATACCTATAACTGAGAGATACATAGTTGCCTTCTTATTTCAAAGTTACTTTTGTAATTTCAACATGTGTGTCAATCAATTTGAAAACTATTGGCAACTGATAAAAATTGAATAGGAATTTAGAAATGTAAGGGGTTATGTTGTTGGCTTTGTAATGATATTTTGAAGTTGTCCAAGAATTTCTTTGACTTTTTGCTATACCACAACCTATGTTCATACTGTGTGCATATCTATAGTCTTTTTTTTTTAGTTTAAATTTAGATTAGAAACAAGGTTGCTTCACAAGTCAGTTCCAGGTCCCTCTCCCTTTCCCTCCCCTCTATAGTCTTTAAAACATCAAAAACAGTACTATAGATTTGAAGATCCAAAAAGCAGATAAAATGCTTAAAAATAGTTTTTACCTGTCAGTCTTAAAATCTTTATAGAAAAACAAAAAGAGCAGATAGTAGGACATGCCTGAAGTTATTACAAAGTCTGATATCAGGGGGTTGCAGGTTGCAGGCCAACCAGGCAATTTAGAGGACCCAGCTTCAACATGACAGAGATAAAGACAGCTGCATATAGTTCAGTGGTAGCACTACCCTAGTGTGCCTGAGGATCAGGAGTCCACAGAGAGGAAAAAAAGAACTGGAGGAAGGACACGGAAAGAGGGGGTGAGGAGTGGCTAGACTTTGTCCTTATGATCCTGGTCCTTATGATCTGGTCTCCTAGTGTTGAAACACACTACCACACTGGGTAAGCCCACACTGTATCTCTGAGTCATACCCTTCCTGGAACTAAGGCTCTTTATGCAAAGGTCTACTCCTTGCTGACTTCTAATAAGCATCCAGCTCTCCTTCCTTCCTGAGGAATGGGAACGCCATCCTTGCTCTTCTTGGAGTCAAGACTCTGGGCTCATCCTTGATTTTCCCTTATTTACATCACACCACACACCAGTCATCAAGTTTTCTGTTAGTCCTCTATTCAAAATCCAGTATCTAACCCCTCTTCTCTACCAGTCCCCTCCCTGGACCAAGCAGGAAATAATATACAAAAGGCTCTACAGTAGAGGTCTACTGCTCTTTTTGTTTTTCTATAAAGATCTTAAGACTGACAGGTAATATACAAATGGCTCTGCAGTAGATGTCTACTGCTTTTTGTTTTTCCATAAAGATTTTAAGACTGACAGGTAATACATAAACGGCTCTGCAGTAGCCTGCCTGATAGAGTTCCAGCACCACTCTCAGGGACTGACCTCTCCCAGGATCACTGCCTCCCTGCTGGTCCTTCACTATGCCACTTAGTCCCTCCCCAAGACCTTGGTATTTTGATTCTTACTACCCCAAATCTCTATCTCCCTAAAGCCCACATCTACAAAGTTACTCCCCTGCCCTCTGAGAACTGTGTTTGCTGAAAACTAACACACAATCCTCAGACTCTCTCGTCTTTGCTGTATTCACCTCCTTGACTTATTCGTTAGTGCTTAGCACCAAAACACCTGACATTGATATATCTTTATCTGTATTGATGTTTTCCACACTGCAAGATAGACTCCAAGAAGGGACCTTGTTTACTGCATTATCTTCAGTATCTGGACCAATGCTAGGCTCATACTACATACTTCATAAATATTTGCTGAAGGGAAGATTGAATCATCAAGACTGCTCACAGATATACCACTGTTCCCATTTTAAAAGAAATCTAAAGGTCAATAAAGGACTTGCCTCCTGGCTGAAAGGGAAGAGATGCATGGCTGAGAAGGGTTGTAACTACTAGCCTGTGCCTCACAATCCTACAGCAGTATAACTAGGTGTTTAATAAACATTAACCTAAGTATCCCTAATAGAGAAAGAAGGACATTCCTGTTTACTCAGCTACCTAGCTACCTACCTACCTACATTGTTTTCTGATGCAGGATCTCACATTCAAGCCCAGGTTGGCCTGGAAATCTCTGGAATGCTCTTATTTCAGCATCTGTAATGGTAGTGTTACAGGCATAAGCCAAAGCACCTGAATGAGTAGTTGCTTTTTAAAGTGGGGTATTCTCATACCCATTTTGCAGATAATGAATGTCCTTGTTAAATCTGGAGCTGTAGCCTCATGCACCAGACCACACTCCCAGCCATCTCCCTCCCTCCAGGATCAGCTATAGGAATATGACAGGCCCATGCTGTGACTTTGAAGTCACAAAAGGCAGAATCTTGTCTCCTTCCCCAGCAGCTGACCTAGAAACAGAGACAAACTAACTTCAAGTACCCAGCATGTATTATGGGCTGCTGTTCATGCCTACAGCCTTCTGGCGTTGGACCACATCCCTCTGAAAGTTTTTAGAGAGGACCACTATTTAGTTTGGTGGAAGTTTCTGTCTTCAGAGCCCTGCTGCACTTGCATGTGGCATTAAGGACAGTGTGCCTCAGTGCTCCTCTCTGGACTGCCTCTCTCAACACTGCCCAGTTAGCCAAGCAATCTTCTTATCCACTTTTGCAAAAGAACAAAAGGGAAACCCACTATTGTTTTTTGGAAATGAATGCTGCTTTTCCAAAAATAGCTAAATAGTGAGGCAAGATGGCACACACCTTCAATTCTGGCACCGAGGAGACAGAGGCAGGTGGATATCTGTGAGTTTGAGGTAGGCCTGGTCTACATAGGGAGACCCTGTCTCAAAATAAAAGACACTAACTAAAGCAAGTAGTTCTTATCTTGGATTATGTAAGGTTAGGAAATTTCCCATAATCATGTAGTCGAATGTGCCATAGTTTTTGACAATTTGACACAAACCTAATCATATCTGGGAAGAGGGAATCTTGAGGAATTGCCTCCATCAGGTTGGCCAATCTATGGGGCATTTTCTTATTTACTGACTTGGGATGGCCAAGACCCTTAAGGGGCGTGCCACCTGAGGCTGTTGGTCCTGGGTAAAGCAAAGTGAGAGTTCATTATGAGAAGCCAATGAGCAGCCTTCTTTCAAGGACTCTGCTTGAGTTCCTACCCTGAATTCCCTTCCTGGTGGATTACAACTGTATACCAAAAGTAACCCTTTCCTTCCCCATGGTGTTTTACCACAAAAAGCAGCAAATCAAGACTACACACACACACACTTTTTCTTTTTCTTAAAAAAAAAAATGGGCTCTTGCGGGGCAGTGGTGCACACACCTTTAATTGCCTTTAATTCCAGCACTTTCGGAGGCAGAGACAGGTGAATTTTTGTGTGTTCAAGGCCAGCCTGGGCTACAGAGCAAGTTCTAGGACAGCCAGGACTGTTATACAGAGAAACCCTGTCTTGGAAAAGCAAGCAAACAAAACTTTAAAAAAAGATGGGCTCCTTAGAATTCCTGGGCTGAAGTAATTTGCCTTCCTCAGTCACAGAAATGCTGGGACCGTAGGCATCCGACCACAGTATTACGTCCAACTTTGAATTACTGTTATTTTTGACATTTTCTAGTTTGAAAATATTTTAAAAATTACTTTAAAATCAAAGAGTATCAGAGATGAAAGTGCAAAGCATAGAAAACAGGTTTTAATTATTTTATGAACTGTATGACCTTCATTAAATTAACTGTTCTGGTTTCCCTATCAGTTCTGCTTCCTAAGAACCCTTTAGGGAGAACTGTGAGAATTAACTGAAATATACATCGTAGTCCCTACCATACAGAATGTACCCAATAAAAGATGGTTTCTCTTTAATGTCAACCGGCACTGCAAAACTAAAACAAAACGTGTTATAACCCGTTTCTCGACTTTTCCTCTTAACCTAAAGGTGCTCGTTGGAATCTAAAAGTTAAAAATTCAAATGGAAAAAATAAAAAAAGGGAAGAATGTGCATTTTACTGCACAATCGAAAAGAGCAATTTGGATCAGCTTAGGGTCTCAGACACCCCCAGCTTCACCAGGGAAGAAATCACCTTAATACCTATTTCCCTGCCTCTCAGGACGGCTGCTCAATGAGGTCAAATGTCCCTTCTCGGCCGCCTTAGAACCTCACTCCCCTACCCGACAGTGCATTTCTATTGGTTGACTCTGTTTGGCGCCAAAGCGAGGAGGAGAGGCTGATCGCTGTGGGGCTCTGAACAATAGAAGTGCCGCGGGCGAGAGCGAAGCGGCCGTTTTGTCGTGACTTGGCAGTTGACGGGACCGCGGGACTCGGGAGCGTCCGTCATGTTCTGCGAGAAAGCAATGGAGCTTGTCCGCGAGTTACGCCGCGCGCCGGAAGGGCAGCTGCCGGCCTTCAACGTGAGGAGAGGCGACGGGCGGGCGGGGGAGAGAACGGGGCGTGTCGGGGGCGTGTCGGGGAGAGAACAGGGCGTGTCGGGGGCGGGGCGGGGAGAGAACGGGGCGTGTCGGGCCGGGGCGTTTGGCTTGGGGGCGGGGCCTGTGTGGACCTATCCTGGGCTAGTCAGCTGTGGCTTGTTGAAGTCTTCTCTCCCTTCAGTTGCTGGGTTCTTTTTACTGCCTTGCTAGGTTACGTCATCGGAAACGAAAAATTTGAAACTGGGCCTAAAGAATTGTAGGGAAAAAAAAAACACTCATATTTATGTTATCTATTGATTTGGTGAATTTCCTCATTTTTGTTTCTTGATTTTGTTTTTTGAGACAATGCTCATGTTGTCCAGGCTGGCCCGGAACTCTATTAAAAAGAATTTTGTGTCTGTATGGCAGGTGCTCCGTGAAAACCAGAAGAGGGTTTGGGATCTTCTGGAACTGGGCCTGTAGGCGTTTGTGAGCTGCAGGATGTTGGTGCTTGGAACTCAGGTCCTACTCAAGAGCAGCAAGTGCTTTTAGCCGCTGAGTCATCTCTCCAGGTCCACATATGTCTTTCTAGCTAGCCTCTTTTTAAAAAATTAACTTTATTTTATGTGCATTGGTGTGAAGGTGTCAGATGCACTGGAACTGGAGTTACAGACAGTTGTGAGTTGCCACGTGAGTGTTGGGAACCGAACCCAGGTCCTGTGAAAGAGCAGCTAGTGCTCTTAACCACCGAGCCATGTCTGCAACCCATGAACCAATAGCACTCTGATGTAGTTCTGGCCTCACTGTGAAGCTAGGTCCCACCCTCAGCTTTTGGAAACCACTGATTTTCTTCCTTGCTTGTAGATTATTGACTTTTCTTTCATGTATCTGGGTCTGCTAAGAGCTTACACTTGATAAAGGGCCTGATGCCTTGGTAAGGGCCATATGGAATCATGGAGTATGCACTAAAGCTTTGTATCTGTATCTGGCCTCTCTGGCCCTTTTTTTTTTTTTTTTTTTTTTTTTTTTGATATTTGAGACAGAGTTTCTTTGCATAACAGCTCTGGCTGTCCTGGAACTCACTCTGTAGACCAGGTTGGAATTGAAGAGACTATTCTTACTGTGGTGTATGTTTTCAGTAGTTCAGAAGGGTTTTTTTGTTTGTTTTGGTTTTTTTGAGACATGGTTTCTCTGTGTGTACAGTGCTTTTTTATTTTAAAGACTTAATTACTGTTTTTTTGAGACAGGCTGTCATGAAACTTGCTCTGTAGAATAGAGCTGATCTAGAGATGGAGATCCATTTGCCTCTGCCTCCTAAGTGCTGGGACTAAAGGTGTGAGTCACCAATGCTTGGCCTCGTTTTGTTTGGTTTGGTTTTTTGAGACAGGGGTTCTTTGTATTGCTTTGGAGGTTGCCCTGGACTAGCTCTGTAGACCAGGTTCGCCTTGAACTCACAGAGATCCACCTACCCCTGCCTCCCGAGTGCTGGGATTAAAGACGAGCGCCACCAACGCCTGGCTCGTTTGTTTTTTTAAGACAGGGTTTCACTGTGTAGTGCAGGCTGGCCGAAACTTGACGTACTTCTTCAGTTATTGAGACTGATTTAGGCATGTGGCGGCTATGCCTGGCTAAAGTGCTTATGAATTTGCCTTCCAAGGTATTCCAGATAAGTAGACTCAAACTACAGTTCTTTTGTGTCTGCTGTCTCTGGTTTAACATGGGATTGTCAGGACCATGTTGTAGCACATATCAATACTCATTCCTTCTTATTGCTCAGTGATACTCTACTGGATCATACACACATTTGGTTCATATCTCAATCTGTTATTGGTTCTTTGGATTATATTTGCTTTTTGAGTATTTTGAATAATGCTTACAAGAATATTTGCATAAAGCCCAGTGTGTGGCTATAATTATAGGACATGGGATGCTGAGGCAGAAGGTTTAATGTGAGGTTAGCCTGAGTAACATAGTACTAGCAAGACCCCGTCTCAAGAGAACCAATTATGAAAGCCTAAAAATAAAAATAAATCAAACACAACAAAATTGTTAAGTTTTTGTGTATGGGCTGGAGATTTAACTTAATAGTAGAAAGAAAAAAATGAATGAGTGAAAGGAAGAAAATAAGAAAGCAAAAAAAAAAAGAAAACATATGTCTAGGAATGAGATTGAGTATAAAACTAGGAGTGGAATTGCTGGGTCATATATAGGTGGTATGCAAGCTAGGGAAGTGCTCTACCAATAAGTTTCATCTGCAGTCCTTTATTGTTTAAGATAGGGCATCTCTGTAATGTATGAAGACCTTGAAGTCATGATCCTTCTGCTTGGCATCCTGGGTTCAGGAGCTATGTCCATTCTTGTTAAGTGTGGAACTGATTTCTACACGCTATTCCATTTTATGTTCCTTACCAATATCTGTAGTCATGGAAATATTGTGAAGCCTACTTTTTTTGTTAAGGTATATAAATGAAAGATAAATATAGTACAGGTTGAAATTAATCAGGGAAATCAATTAATGTATTTACATTTCAGGAGGATGGACTCAGACAAGTTCTGGAGGAGATGAAAGCTTTGTATGAACAAAACCAGTCTGATGTGTAAGTTGTGATAATTTTGATGTTTTAAAAATAAGAAATGAGATGTTAAAATCAGAACCTTTTATCTCTTTGGGGGGGGATGCAATTTTTTTTTTAATTTTCTGAACCTGATCTGGTTGTACAAGTGAGCACAGGACTTGAACTTAAAGGGGTTTCTGCTGCTTTGTGGTTGGGCATAGCTTCACATATGCTAGATGCTTAACATGTCTTCATGATGTATTATGATGTATGACTTCTAAGGTGGAAGAATTAAGGTAGACTTAACAAGATGAGACAGGAGCAGATCCATTGAATGCCAGAACTATGTACAATGACTCTATATGGTCAAGGGAGTAGCTTAGTGCTAGGGCTCTTGTCTAGCAAGTGTGGGGTCCTAGGTTTTATCTCTAGCACCACAAAAACGAAACATCCTAGATATTCAGTGATAAATACAGGATCTCACTGTTATAGAGACTAGGATGGCCTTGAACTCAAGAGATTTTTCTGACTCTGCCTCCTAAGTGCTCTGATCAAAGGGGTGCACCACGGTACCCAGTTGTGGTTTTATATCATCTAAAATATTAATGAGGTAGCTACTCTGCTTAGGTAGACTGCTACTAACTTTAAGTGGACAAAACCAGCATGTAAGTCAGTCATTCTGACTTTGGAATTTTAACCTACACTGGAATATATATGTTTCTTGCTTCTTATATGTCATTCTTCTTACCAGGAATGAAGCAAAATCAGCTGGACGAGGTGATTTGATCCCAACTATCAAATTTCGGCATTGTTCTTTGCTAAGAAATCGACGCTGCACTGTAGCATACTTGTAAGTGTCTTGGGCTTTGCTTGGAATATCAGGGAACCTAGGAGGGTTTTTGATGTAGTTTGGTTTCTCAGTGGGTAGCAAGAAAAAAGAAAATCTTATTGTTCCTTTTTATATTTTTTGTTTTGTTTTGTTTTTTGAGGCAGGGTCTTACCCATGTAGACAGGCTGACTTTGAACAGAGATCTTTATGCTTTTCCTCCTGAATGTTAGGATTAATGCCATGTGCAATCACACTTGGCTTCCCTTTTCTTTCTTTCTTTTTTCCAGACAGCGTTTCCCTGTGTAGCTCTGACTGTACTGGAACTGGCTCTGTAGACCAGGCTGACCTTAAACTTACAGAAATCCACTGAAGTGCTGGGTTAAATTAAAGGTTTGTTCCACCACTGCCCAGCTCTGGCTTCCTTTAAAGAAAAAAATTTTTTTTTCAATTATGAAACAATAGTGAATTCAGGAAAAGAATGATATAACTTGCCCTGTGGAACTTAGCCACATACTTCATTATGTTTTGTTTTTATGCTGTACTAGTTTGAATTATCATGGCAGCTCACCACTGAATTTTTTTTTTAATCAATAATGATTTTTTTTTATTCTTTTTTTTTAAATTTAGATAAGAAACAAGGTTGCTTCACAAGTCAGTTCCAGGTCCCTCTCCTTTTCCCTCCCCTCCTCCCGTGCCCTCCCCCCATCCCCCTGAATTCTTTTTCTTTTATATCTGCATATATGTCTACAGGCCAGAAGAGGGGGAGGGTGCCAGATCTCACTTTAGATGGCTGTGAGCCACCTTGTGGTTGCTGGGAATTTAACTCGGGACCTTTGGAAGAGCAACCAGTGCTGTTAACTGCTGATCCATCTCTCTAGCCTCTCACAACTGAATTATTAATACTTTTCTTCTCTAAGCAGCAAGGATCTCTTGGCTTTTGTAGCCACTGCATATTGTCACAATTGGAGAGTTTAACAATGCCTAGTGGCATCTGTCAGGTTGAAACAGGACATCATTATGTAGTCCTGGCTGGCCTTGAATTTACAGAGATCCAAATGCCTCTGCCTCCAAAGTTCTGGGATTAAAGGTATTTGCCACCACACCAACTATCTAAACAGTTCTTATGCACATTTTTCCCCATTGTCCCAAGAATGTTTTCTTGTTGGCATTTTTCTATCAGAGGCCAAACAAAGTCCACATGTTCCATTTAGGTTTTTGTGAGTCTTGAGTTTTCTCACTGGAATGACTTTTGACTCCTTTTATTCTTTTTTTTTTTTTTTGGTTTTTCGAGACAGGGTTTCTCTGTGGCTTTGGAGGCTGTCCTGGAACTCGCTTGGTAGTCCAGGCTGGTCTCAAACTCACAGAGATCCACCTGCCTCTGGCTCCCGAGTGCTGGGGACTCCTTTTATTCTTATACCATCTAATCCCTTGATGTCCTAGGTATGACCGGTTGCTTCGGATTAGAGCACTCAGGTGGGAATATGGCAGTGTCTTGCCAAATACTTTGAGATTCCACATGTCTGCTGAAGAAGTAAGTTAGCACTATTCAAATGTATAGAAATGCTATGTTCTCTAATAGTAATCTGTATTTATCTTTTTGTTTTTAGTATTCAGCAATTTCTCACTTAAAGTAATTTCTTATATACTGTGATAGGAAGTATGTGGTGGAGAGTAATTCTAAGTACCTTGTGGAAAACTAAGTACTTAACAAAATAGAGTTCCAGTAGTTCTTTGTTTTTATTTTTTGAGACAGAGTTTCTCTGTATAATGGCCCTGACTGTCCTGGAATTCACTTTGTAGACCAGGCTGACCTCAAACTCAGAGATCTGCCTGCCTTTGCCTCCTGAGTGCTGGGATTAAAGGTGTGCACCACAACCACCCAGCCCAATATGCTATTTATTACTGACCCATCTTTGGGATTAAAAACTGGTATTATTACTTGGGTGTTTTCTATATAATATGTGCATATATGTACATTCTAATCAAAATTACAAATTCATGTAATATTTCTTCTGCTGCTCCATGAGTTTCAGTTTCTTTGCTGACATTTTCTTCTAGATTGCAGACTTTTTTTTTTTCTCGAGATGGGGTTTCTTTGTGTAGCCCTGACCCTGGCTGTCTTGGAGCTTGCTTTATAGACCAGGCTGGCCTAGAACTCACAGAGGCTTACCTCTGCCTCCCAAGTACTGGGATTAAAGGTGTGAGCCACTACCACCCAGCAGGTTGCTAATTTATTGTTTCCAATTCATCCATTTTACTACCTTACCCTCTGTATTGCTGACTTAATTAAACCATTTGTTTTTATTGTCTTAGAAAACATTGATCAGTTTTTACTAGTAAACTTTTGAAATCATCATCTAGTATTATAGCTATTTTACTGTCACTGAGTTTGGTAGTGAATTATATACAGCCTTCTAGAAGAGCCAATTTGCTATACTTTCTCATGTTTTGGGGGTCTCTGTCTTGTGATGTGTATATCTGCTCGTCAGGATCTCTCTCCCTGTTTTATTTGGGGATCTTCTTGAAGGTTTAATCTCTAGTACCCTCCATAGAGAGAAAGCAAATTTCTGTAATAGCAACAAACCAAGAAGCAATGCAAGATATAGACATACACTTAAAATCAAGTACAGTCCACTACTGGATCATTAGTGACCACAAAAGTGAAACTGGTAAAGGTACTGTAGAAGGTGGGACAAAGTTCATTTTTAGAGTGGGTGTGGGAATAGTAAATGAAGAGATAAAAGAAGGAGGCAGGGGAAGGGGGGAAATAGAGAAGCAAAATCAAATACAATAAGGGGGAAAGAAGCTAAGTGAGAAAAATGTTAATCAGGGAAAAGAACGAGAAATTAGAAAATCATAAAAAAGTTCAAAAACAAATTAGACAAGTGTAAGGAAAATAAAAAAATATATATAATGAGTTCATGCACAGTGGGCAGGGTCAGCAGAACTGTAGACCCCTTTCTTCCCTATGGTTTTTATATGCTGTTGCTCAGACCATACTGGCTGGGTGTTTGATATTTTCCAGAGCTATCTTCACTTCGGTAGTTGTGATAGCTTTGTCAATTTGATACAACCTAAAATTCCTAGGAAGAGATCATTGGGCCAGTGGGAATGTTGTGGGGAATTTTCATAATTAAGTTAATTAATCTGGGAAGATCCAACCCTAGGATGTATTATTTTGAAATGGTAGTACATAGTTTGTACAAATTTTCTCAAACCTTTGTCAAATGACTGTTTTTATGTTCACAGATGGAGTGGTTCAACCATTATAAAAAATCTCTTGCTACTTACATGAGGTCACTGGGAGGTGATGAAGGCTTGGACATCACGCAGGATATGAAACCTCCCAAAAGCCTTTATATTGAAGTATGTACTTACTTTAATGCACACATTATGCTACCCTTTATCAAAGATGAGGGTTTGCTAACTTCTCTTAAAAAGAAAGAAGAAAAAAAACTTAAAAGAGTGAGAGAAAGTTTCAACTGTCTTTAGGATGGACACCTAAAATTTCATCAGTATACCCATTTAAGTTTTGTTTTTGGTACTATAAATAGAGAGCCAAAAGGAAAGAAAAAGTTTTTAAAGAGGGAGAGAAACCTATAGATTGAAAGGTAAGACATAAAACACAATGTATAGTTTTGTTAGATTCTAGTTTCAACTTGAAAACTTAGAAAAATATCCTTGAGGGGCTGGAGAGATGACTCAATGATAAAGAGCACTGGCTGCTCTTCCAGAGGATTCGGGTTCAATTCCAGCACCTACATGGCAGCCCACAACCATCTGTAACTCCAGGCCTATGTGGCCCAATGCCTTCTGCCTCACTTGGACACTTTCCTTGCGGTATACAGACATACATGCAGGTAGAATACCCATATACATGAAATAAAATGGGGAAAATTAAAATATGTATGAGACAAGTGGTAACTTTTGGATATTAAATGAGCAATGACATGAGATAGTATTCTGGTGTGTGTGTGTGTTGTGTGTTGTTTTTTGTTTTTTTTTTTTTGGGGGGGGTCTCCTGCAGCTCAGGTTTGCCAGGGACATGCCATGCAGTCAATGGTAACCCTTACTTAGCTCATAATCCTCTTGTTTCCACCTCCTAACAGCTGGGATTGCAGGCATGAGCCACCATGTTTGACTTTATTTTTTTGTTCGTTGTTTTAACAATATTAGTGTGTAGAGGTAGGTAATTTAAGCCAGGTGTGGTAGTTTGTATCTATAGTCCTAGTAGTTGAGAGGCTGAGGCAGAATGGTCTAGAGTTTAGAACCAGCCTGGGTTACAGGACACCGTCTCAAGATGGGGAAAAGGTAATCCTGAATTGATTGAGGTGAACACACCTGGCCACAACTTCTTCCCCAACACTAGTCTTTCCAAAGAAGATTTTCTTCTTAACAGTATTTCTCACACTAGGTTAAAGTGCTCTGAGAGTCATTGTCAATTTTCAGATTAAATCTAGGGATGGTACAAATATCTGGTACTTGCTGCTGGGGTTGGCTTACTGGAAGTCAGTGGCAGTGCAGTATGAGTCTAACCCTCAGGAGAGTGACTTCTTCCCCAGTTCTCATGAGGTGGAAATGCCTCCCTGTTTTCCTGGATAGCCTTAGTGTTGTCTCTTCAATTTTTTTTTTTAAACGTAATGTGTATTTGAGTGCAGTTGTGTGTCCTTTGGCATATATAAGAACAATTCTGGGGAGTTGGTTCTTTCCTTATTCTGTGAGATCAGGGGTCACCAGGCTTACAAAGCAAGTCCTGTGACCCTCTGAGCCATCTAACAGCTCAATTAGTTCTTTGCTGGAGTTAATGTCAAAGACTGCCTCATTTCTCTATCCTCCAACCAAGACCTCTCAGTTTTGATGACCTAGGTGCCTAAAGAATAAGGTTAAGATGAACAGACTGAGATGACTAAGAATTTGTTACAAATTAAAAGATACTTCAGCACAACTTCATTTTTGCTTCTACTTGTGGCAACAAATGAAAGCTGTACTTTCTTTCATTTCTGATTCTAAAAATTCTCTGGAGCCAGGTGTTGGTGGCACATGCCTTTAATCCCAGCACTAGGGAGGCAGAGGCAGGTGGATCTCTGTGAATTCGAGACCAGCCTGATCTACAAGAGCTAGTTCCAGGACAACAGCCTCCAAAACCACAGAGAAACCTGTCTCGAAAAACCAAAAAAAAAAAAAAAAAAAAAAAAAAGAAATTCCCTGCAATAAGTCTGCATATTGAAGAAAGTTGAGAGAATCTCTTCCAAAAGTACAAAAATAGACTTGTATCCTAATCTCTCACTAATACTACAAAAATGAGGCTGGAGTGGATATAGATATTACATAAATATTCGTGCAACACCTGTTTTCTTTTTTATTACTTACTACCTATAATAGCATAAACAAGGTGTGCTGGGGCATACCTATATTCTCATCTAATCATGAGGCTGACTCAGTAGGATCACTTGAGCCTAAGGGTTAGAGACTCAACTAGACAACACAGCTAAAGACCCTGTCTCAAAGAAAAAACAAAGTCTCAATTTGTTCTTTCAGGTACGGTGTTTAAAAGACTACGGAGAATTTGAAGTTGATGATGGCACTTCAGTTCTGCTTAAAAAAAATAGTCAGGTATTTTATGTTGTCATATACTTTAAACCTTGTTAAGAATGTGTGTGAGGTAATGCTGGATTCAGTAGCAAAATGGGTATCTCTTTGTGATGTTCTCTATCTCAGACCTTTCTGGACTTTTTCTAAATAATGAGACTTGAAGCAGACATTTCATATGGCAAGAAAAAGTTAATTTATTTACTAGGTTGCTGCTTATACTCAATACTAAATATTTTCCTGAATAATTATTATAATGGGCCTTGTTCTGAGTAGTTGACAGATTATTTGGGGACTACTAAAGTGTTGATTTTAAGGTTGGTAATCCCATCTGCTCAAGAGGTAATCCCACCTAAGCGGGAGGGTCCAAAGTTGAAGACCAGCCACTTAGAGTCATGCTTATCTTTTCTTTTTTAATATTTTATTTATTTATTGTGTATACAGCTTTCTGCCTGCAGGCCAGCAGAGGGTACCAGATCTCATTCAAGGTGGTTGTGAGCCACCATGTGGTTGCTGGGAATTGAACTCAGGACCTCTGGAAGAACAATCAATCCGTGCTCTTAACGGCTGAGCCATCTCTCCAGCCCAGTCGTGCTTATCTTTAATCCCAGTACTTTCAGAGGCAGAGGCAGGCAGATCTCTGTGAGTTCCAGACCAGGTTGGTCTACAAAACAGGTTCAAAACCAACCTGGGCTACAAAGGAAATTCTAAGCCATATCTAGCAATTTAGTGAAATATTGTCTCAAAATGAAAAATAAAAAGAAGATTGGAGTTGTGCCTCAATGGTGGCACTTGTCCAGCGTGCATGAAGCTATAGGTTCATATCTATAGTACTACAATAAAAAGCAAAAGAATGTTGGATTGACCTTGTCCCTGAATTTATGAAAATTCTTGTGTTCTTTTTTTGTTTGTTTTCAAGTCAGGGTCTCTCTCTGTAGCTCTAGCTGGCCTGGAACTCAGTCTGTAGACCTTGCTGGCCTCGAATAGAGATCTACCCCTCTCTGCCTCCCAAGTGCTGAGATTAAAGGCGTGCACCACCACTGCCCAAGAACTTTCAAGTACTTAATATGTAAGCAGAACAACTAAACAGGATAAAATTGTCATTGTAAAGAGCTGTAACTTCATTTTAACTCAGTTCATTTTTATCCTCTCCCCATTTTCTGAAATCACAGTAATGGAGGGGAAGGGCTTTATAAGGGCCACTCTTTCCTCTTTGTCTGCCCTGCCATGTGGGTGTTGACCAGTTAAGGTCTTGTTCCTAAATCTTGATGTGGACTGTTTACATCCTGGAACACAGTGCTTCTGGCCATCAGGTGCTCTGGCCTGAGAGGGTAACTGATCTGTTTTATTAGCACGCAGCTGTCATTTCTCAACACTAGGTTTTTAGAGCCGATTTCAAAGATACCCTAAAATCTTTGTTAAACCAACTGTTCTCTCCTATGTGTCTCCTTAAACATACTATGTCAAAACAAGACAACTAGGGTGCTTTAAAAAAAAAATTCTGTGTTTACCATGGGAACCTGCAGTTGCCAAGAGCAAAGCTGTCCTCAGCAAGATGAGAGGAAGTGCTTTCGATTTGTTGAGGTTTTCTTGAGCTCTGGGTACCAAGGCAGTGAGGACTGAGCCTGTTCATCTGCTCCTGTGTGGACATGTGAACAGCCTTAACAACTTGCGTTATCTGTATTTGAAACCTATTTTCTACTGTGTAATGTTAAGGAACTTGTTATAATTTTGGGCGAGGGGGACCTTGGCAAATTCCATGGCGGGCTAGGGACAAACATGCCAGGCAGACAGCTTAAGTGAGAAGTTTAATTAGAAAGGGAAGGGAGGGGAGAGGGAAAGAAGAGAAATAGGGGGACACACACACAGAGAGAAGAGAGGTAGGGAGGGAAAGACAGGAAATTCCTGTCTGCCCCTTTAGAGGAACATTGGGAGAGAGAGTGGAAGTGGGTGGATTTTTTCTTTTAAAGGGTCCTTTGCACCTGCATGCAGACTATGTAGTGATGAACCCTGGGCTGAGCAGAGTACTGCCTGAGTGCATTCTGCCAGGTGACAGGGGGCAGCCAGCATGATGGCACAGTAAGTAGAAGTGCTAGAACACAGGCCCAGTGACCTGTGTTCAGTCCCTGGATTCCATAACACGGCAGGAGAGAACCAATTCTTGAGAGTTGTTTTCTGACCTTCACATGCATGTGTGGCCTATGCGTGCCTGTGTTTGCACATGCATATGTACTCACACACATGCATGCATACTAAGTTAGTTAATATCTGGCCACACCTAAGACTGATCATCCACAGAGTTATGACACTAATGGGGAAATTCGTAACATGTTTTTTGTTGTTTGTTTTTTCTTTGAGACAGGTGTCTCTGTAGCTTTGGAGCCTATCCTGGAACTGGCTCTGTAGACCAGACTGTCCTCAGACTCACAGAGATCCACCTGCCTCTGCCTCCCGAGTGCTCACCACCACCACCACCACCCGGCTTAACATGTATTCTTTAATATTTATAAATATGGTGTTAAAGCAACTGTCAAATGTGTCACTCGGTGTGTGTGCATTTATCACTTAACAATTTTTAAAAACTTGGTGAATAAGGAGCTGGAAAGATGACTTGATGCTTTTGTGGGAGGACCCTAGTCCAAGGTGATCTAGTGCCCTCTTCTGGCCTCCATGCGCAACAGCATACATGTGGTACATATAGATATCTCGACAAAACACTCATACATAGAATAAAAATGAATAAATCTTAAGAATTATTTAGTGACTTTTATAAAAATAAGAACTTAAAAAGTAGGATTCATCTACTAGTATTATCACTTTTACTTGGCTATAATAATAAGTTAGTTAAGTTTAGCTTTTGTCTACTTAGCTGTAGAAGTTGATAAGGTATAAAATAACTGTTGCTTTTTACTGATACAAAATGTAATTAAATTTTTTCCTAATCATTTCTCTCATTCTTTCCCTTCTGCTTCCTTTTGCTTGCAGCACTTTTTGCCTCGGTGGAAGTGTGAGCAGTTAATCAGACAAGGGGTCCTAGAGCATGTGCTGTCCTGACTGCGTCCCGTGATGACAACCGCAGGGCTCTGCAAGCTCTGCCAGGGGTGAAGCTGAGTCTAACTCATGTAAACTTCCTCACTGGATCTCCCCTCCTTCTTTGATTTAAATTTACAGACATGCTCGAAGATAACCAAGAAGGGTGCTTGGGGTGTAGCTCAGTGGTACAGCACTTTCTTAGCATTTGAGAAACCCTGAGTTTCATCCCTAGCACCTCCAAAGACAAGACAACAAAAATCAAAGAACAGACTAGACCAGGAGCACTTGGGGAGGAGTATACTCTGCCAACTGTTAAGCCTTTGTTACAAACTATATCTCTAGTCATTCCATTCCCACAGTAAATGCTGTACTTTTATAAACAAAAATAGTCTTCAGTTTGAATCTGTTTTCATGATACACTTTTTCAAAAGTAGCAAATATTTATCTAGTAGAAGATGTAAACATCCAGGGTAGGAGAAAAAGTCTGTACTTTCCTTAGCAGTAGAATAATCTCCCAGGAAAGCTATTTTGGTCCAGTGAAGCTTTCAGTAAGCCAAAGGTGAGGCTGAGCCTTCTTCAGAAGCTGTGGAAGGCTGGGGGCAGGATGGTCTTCCTTGCACTTGTGAAGGAAGACAAGGGCCCAGAGGAGATCTTGGCACTGTTGATGCTCTGCCTCAGCCTCCAAGTGCTAGGAGCACAGTATTGAGCTGCCACGCCCAGCTTCAGCTGTCATTCTGGTTTTGGATTCTTTTTGTTGTTGTTCTATTTAGCTCTGGCTGTCCTGGAACTCACTATGTAGACCAGGCTGGCCATGAACTCACAGAGATCCGCCTGCCTCTGCCTCCTGAGTTCTGGGATTAAACTGTGCACCACCAACGCCCAGCTTCACCACCCTGCTTTAAATAACATTTTTATTAATTGAGAATTTCATACAATGTGTTTTAATTCTATTCACCTCCCAAATAATTTTCTTTATAGAAATGTGCCGTTTTATTACAAAGAGTCTCACAAAATGAAAATATCTCAAAAAGGAAGGTAGGTTAACACCTCCACCTGCACAGTTGGGGCAAGATAGGGCAATAGGAATTTTCTGCTTGTCAGAGTCCAGTGGGAGGCCTGAAAATAAGGGTTTCCAGAAGACCCTGTCACCCCTTCTAGAAAGCTTAATAAGAACATTTTAACAGAACTCCTAAAGCAGGCACTTGGTAGTTCCGAATTTTATCTTCTGATTGTTTTCCTTACACTCAGACCCTACATGGTTCAGAACTAAGACCCAAGCAGGATGGACAAGGTGGCTTTGGGAAGATTTCTTCCAGCACCACTGCCCTGGGTTCTGGTCCCTGGGTCCTATCTAGTCCCTGGAGACATTATATTTAATATATCTTATGTAAGTACAGAGGAATAGAATATATGAAATCTGAGAGATTGGGGAGAGGTCAGAGTTGCAGATCTTACTCAGGCTAACTTGACCTCTTCTTTGACCCCCTTGGCTTCTGGCTTCTCTTCCTTGGTCTTCTCTTCTTCTGTGACTTCTTTTTCTCTTCTGGATCTTGAATTAGAGGAGTTCTTGAGACTACCTCCTCCCTCCTCATCTGAATTGGAGAATTCTTCCTCGTTTGTCAGAGGAGCAGATGCAGATGGGTTTATCAAGGTCTTCATCCTCATCACCTCTCTGGGATGGCATCCTCCGTATTGCCTGCATTTGGACACCAGGTGCATTGTGCAGCATTCTCAAGTTCTCCAAGAGCCACTGCTTGATTTTCTCCAGATACTCGTTTAGTGTTGGTCAAATTGGAAGGACTGATGTGAAGCTTCAAGTCCAGGGCCACAGCTGTTTTATAAGTTCAGCACCGAGCAACATTATGGATGGATCCACCTCCTCTCAGCATTAGCATAGGCAAGTTGAAACTGTTGACAAACTCTGCACACTTGGCATGCCCTTTGATGGTCAGATTGAAGTAACCTAGCTGATCTCCAGATAGGGGATCTGAACCACACTGTAAGAGCACTGCACTAGGCTAGAACATCTCCATTACTTTGGACATGACTAGCTTGAAAAATGGCTTCACAGGACTCATTATCTGTCCCATCTCAGAGAGAGCAGTTAGTAGCATAGTACTTGCCTTTGCCTGCCCCAATAATCCCATAGGTCCCAATTCCAGGGAAGTACTCTCCGTATTTATGAAAGGACACAATCATGTCTCAGTCTATGGTCTAGAAGGCATCTTCCACACCATCGACATAGTGAGTGTCAATGTCAACATACAACACCCTCTGGTGATAATTTAGCAGTTCCAGGATGGCCAAGAACATACCATTGACATAAAAGAAACCAGATGCTCCAGACTTCTTTGCATGACACAGACCCTAAGCCAAGTTCACAGCGATGTCCATCTGCTGCTTATTAAGTTTCACAGCTCTTGCCACAGAGCCACTAGTAGACAGCTGACAAAACTCAAACAAGCCATCAAATACTAGACAGTCCTCACCAATGCTGAATCTCTGTATCTGCTTGCTGTATGCAGACATGTTATCTGGGCAAATGGAATACAGAAATTTAATGTAGTCATCACTGTGGTATTTGGTCATCTCAGCATTGGCTTTGTGAGGACAACAGATTTCCATTTTTCAGTAGAGACCATAGTGGAGCAGCAAATGTGAATCGTGGATTTGGTGAGGCTTCATCAGGTGGCCTTGTCCATAACAGTATTTTCCAACATCATCTCAACTTCCCTGGGCCTGATGAGCCACTCCAGTTCTTGGATCCTATGTACTGAGGCCTCTTTGTGTTCTCCAACACTGAACATCCTCTTATATAACGGAGCACATTGTAGTAATAACAGTTTACTCTTGGTGCCCTGAGTCCACAACATCTTGCACACTGCCCAGCCCTCCCGTCAGTCTCCTACCAAATAATTTTTGATTAGCATGTACAGTATTAGATATGATGGTAGAATGAATTTGATACTTCATTCTTTGTAATTTTTGAAACTTGTAGTAAAGCTCCAAACAAGGTCTATCATGGTAATCATTACAGGTTTATTTACTACTGCTAAATTTGGGAGTGGAGTCATTTTCTAAAACGTCAATTAGCTGATCATGTTTTCAGGTCCTTAACCAATATACTTTGTGTGAGTACATGTGGTTGCTAATGCACATGTATGGAGAGGCCAGATATTTTCCTCAATTGCTCTTCACCTTTTTTTGCCATTTTTTTAGACAGGGTTTCTCTGTGTAGCCTTGGTTATCCTAGAACTCTCTCTGTAGACCAAGCTGGCCTCAGGCTGAACAATTCACCTGCCTCCTGGGTGCTGGGAACAAAGGTTGTGTGCCACCACTGAGCCAGAGTCACTGAACCTAGAGCTTACTGATTGAGCTAGACTGGCTAGTGGACTCTAGGGAACACATCTCTGTCTCCAGTCCTCCTGTGATGGGATTACAGGTCCACACTGCCAGCTTTGTACAGGGTTCTGGAGATCTGAGCTCAGGTCTTCAGACTTGTGCAGCAGGACCTTTACCAACTGACCCATGTCTCCTGCCCTCTCACCTTATACTTCAGTTCCAGGCAGAAGCCCAAAGTAAAGAAGTACATCCAGTAGCCCGACACTCTAGACCAGGCTGGCTTCGAACTCACAGAGATCCACCTGCCTCTGCCTCCCAAGCGTTGGGATTAAAGGTGTGCTCACTAAGTTTTGGCAATGCCTATACTGGTATAACACAAAGTATATTGAGACTTAGTATTTTACTGGTTAGTAATACTAGACTCTACATTTTAAGTGTATTCCCTCTGGGGTAAAGAGCTGACCAGTGTAGAGAATCCTTGTTTTTTCATTTTTTTCAAGACAGGGCATTACTATTGTAGCTCTGGCTATCCTGGAACTCACTATGTAGATCAGGCTGGCCTCAAACTCATAGAGATTCGCCTGCTCTCCTTCCTGAGTAATGGGATTAAAGCAGTAGTTGTCAAGCTTCCAATGCTGTGACCCTTTAATACAGTTCCTCATGTTGTGGTGTCCCCCAACCATAGAATTATCTCATAGCTACTTCATAACTAATTTTGCTGTTATGAATAATATAAATATCTAATATGTAGGCTCTCTGATATATGATACCTAAAGGGGTTGCAACCCACAAGTTGAGAACCACTGGATTAAAGGCATCACCACTATACCTACCAATCCCTGTTTATATTTTTATTGAAGAGTCCAAACTCTGTCCTCATGCTTGCTCATCAATCACTTTGTCTGCTGGACCTTCTTCCTAGCCCCATAGTGACTCTTTTTTTTAGACAGGATTTCTCTGTGTAGCTTTGGAGCCTGTCCTGGCATTCATTCTGTAGACCAGGCTGGCCTTGAACTCACATAAATCCTCCTGTCTGCCTGCTAAGTGCTGGGATTAAAGGCATGTGCCACCACTGTCCAGCAAGTGATTCTTATAAAACTATTATTGGTGAAATAATTTAAGACTTAAAAAACTTAAATTCATTTTATTTTATTTTTTAAAATCAATTTTAATAGAAAAGAAGTTATTGAAAATACAGTAACTTTTCATTTCACAGTAGAATACTCTGGTAAACCAAATGGTCATAATTTAGGTATATCTGTTATAAAACTATACCTTTAAAAATATGTACAATTTCCAGTGTGACAAGAGTTTTGTAATGAGATTGCACTTGCAACAATGAGTGTGGCTATCCCTGAGCCCACCACCTCAGATACCCCCTCCCTCCCCCCTCCCGGAGCAGATGACTGCTGGGGGATGCCCTCTTCTGGGGGTGTACTGCCCACATGGAGAGCTCTGATGTCAGAGCTCACCTAGAACCTGATTCTGCATTTCAGTCTGCCAGCCCAAAGCACAACTCTAGAATACCAGCCACTTTCTCTCCATTGCTCTTTGCAGAGAGCCTGAGTCTTTCAATAGTATCAAACTTGGAGACTTAACCCAAGGTGTTACCCGAGACCCACTTCCCCAACACCTGGCACACAGTAGACCGACATTCATCAAATACTTTTAGGGTGAACAGGAACCAGTCCTTACGTGTCTAGGGAGTGTGGCTAATGAGCCATAGAAAATTATGGCATCAGAGTAGCAGTATCTGAAAAGACATTACTTCACATGAACTCTAGGAAACAGCAACTTCTACACAGAGAGTGATGCTGGTGCCATCTTACTGATCAGTTTGTTGAGAGCTCGAACTTTTTCTTCCAAGACACAGTTTTTCCTCTCAGTACCTCGTTGCTTCTCTTCTGTGAGCTGAACAGCTTTCATGAGGTGGGCATTTTCCACATACAGTTCCTTGAGCAGCAAATCAGATCTGGTGTTCTTCTCCAACTAGACAGGGAAGAGAGCCACACTTTCCTGTGAACTGCTGCAGGCTGCTGGGACA